TGATTAAGTAGATTTTAACCGAACTTAAAATTTTAATATGAGATCATTTAAGTTATCAAACAAGATTTTTATATTAAGTAGTACAACTTAATTTTTTAAGCTACTTAATTAGGTTATCAAACACTCTCTTAATTTTTGGTAACTTCGCATTCTTCGGCAATTGATTTCACCGGAAAATTTTTGGAAAGTTGAATTTAATTATTTTAGGCCTTTCAAAACCAAATTTAAGCCCAATTTTGTCAAAAAAAAAAAATGTCAAGATCACTAAAATAAAGTTAAAAACTCGTTTAGAATTTCAAAATCTACTTTAATTTACACAAAAATTCAAATTAAAATAAAAATTCAAAATATTTCGACATTTTGATCAACCACTTTTCCATCATTTCATAGCTTGCTATCACCACAAATGAATTGAACTCTTCAAGATAAATACAATAATGGTAAAATTGAATATTGAGGTGGCTGGTCATCTCTCTCTCTCTTTTGTTTTTCTCTCTTACGATGCAAGAACAAAAAACAAACCAAAAATAAAGTTTCAGATCGAAAAAAACATTGTTAGAGGGGCCAAAGTGAGTATTTTTGTGTAACCACTAAATAGATAGTAATTTTAGAAAGAGTGACTAGTGAATTTCGTTTTGCTTTAATTTTTTTAGTTAATTATGCTTTTATGCTGATTAGAATTGCTAGGCAAGGTCATGTGCTTTTATTATTTATTTATTTTTCTTGGTCGCAGAGTATACTGGAGCAAGTCTTCTTCTTCTTCCTTTTTATTTTTATTGATGTGCAGGTTCTAGAATTTAACTAATGACATTATTTTTAAATGAACCTAATTTGCTTTGCTTATAGAGTTTCAATTAATTGTTTTTTCCTCGAAATTAATTAAGTGATGTAATTTTTCTCAAAAAAAAAATAAAAAAATTAAGTGGAGTAATCTAGTTTCTTCTATGAAACACCTGTTTAATATACATACATTAAAAAAACCTTCTTCAAGCTCTTTCCCGTTTTGCGTAGAAATAAGGCAGCTCAAAATTGAGAACAACGAGTGCCAAAAAGTTAATAATCTAAAGTCATTATGCTCTGATGCGTATTAAAGATAACAGATCATATTCAGCTATCTTTATGTATATGAAAGAAAAAAACAATTTTTCTAACCATAGCCACAGCATTTTCGGAGGTACGATATGTGGGAATGGACAAATAAAAAACATGCTAATGAAGCAGGCGACATCGAAGGAAGTTTAACTTTGCAAAAGTCTTCGCATTATAGTAATGCATCAGAGGGATTTTTTCAGTCAGGGTTAATTATTAGGATTAATATTCTTGTCTGTTCTTATATAATAAATTAATTTTATAATTTATCTTTAAAAAAATGTTTCTAATTTGTCCTTATGTTTTGAATTGATTTTTAATTTATTATTTTAGTTAAAATTTCTAACTAAATTAAGTATGTGATTTGTATAAGATATATGATTTTATAAAACTATCTTTATTGTTTAACACAAGTGATCTATACTTATTAATGTGAAGATTAATATTTAAAAACTAATCGAAAATTCTGACCAAAAGAATAAATTAGAAATAGTTTAAAAAATAAAAGTAGATTGAAAGCGTTTTTTTTTAAATAGATTTACAAAATATAAGGACATGTAAGTGTGTTAATTTTAATTATTATTGGGAGGAAATTAGTGTCCCTTTGGTTTTTTTTCTTAGGAAACTTCTATATTTATTTGGATGTGTACCGTTTATTTATTCTAGTCTTTTTTTTAATATGTTTTGAAAGACTCAATTTGCCAACAACGGCCGCCCAAATTAAGATAGAGGCTTAGATGAGAGAAATTAATTATTCTATTCAATTTGCCAATTGATTTATGACTCAATTAGTATTTATGTCTCTATTTTTCTAATAAGTTTCAAGTTCTTATATCTTGGTTGAATACATCCATCCTATATTGTAAGTAAAATAACATTTGTTGTTAGTGGGTTTAAAAATTTAATTTTTAAAATTGATTCAAAATTATGTATGATCACGCATGTGTTAATTTAGTTCAAAAATAATAGATTTAGGAGTGTTTGATAATTTATTTAAATAGCTTTAAAAACTAAGTTAAGCTATTTAATATAAAAAAATTTATTTAATAATCTAAATAATCTCATATTTAAAATTTAAATTAAGTCAAAATTTACTTAATTAGATAAGTTAAAGTTTTGAACTTAATATTTTTTTATTAACACGCTTAGTTAAAAAATTAAATTTTTTTTTTAAATGACTATATAGCTCTCATGTATTCCTATAATCTTAGTTATACAAAGTGACTGAGAAACGATTTTCTACTATCTTCTTCTTTTTCTTTTTGGATAAAGATTGATTTCTTTATTTCTAAAGAACTAAAGTCAACAACTACTGGGACTCAAATACATACAGAAAGTAAGCAAATACAAAGAATAATCCAAATCTCTCACAAAATGGGGTCATAAAAACAAGGACTTTGTATAGCTTCTAACGAAGTTTACACAATGAAACCATTCACGGTAAATCCTTTATCAATGCAAATGACTTATCCTATTATATAAACGGCTGTAGGCATGCATAGACATGCTACCAAAGAAGACACTTCCTTTGGCTCTCCAAGTCGTCCCATTGGAGTGCGAGCCTCGATAGCCTTCAAAAACAATTCATTCTCAAGATCATGCTCAACAAGTGGAGTTTTGATTAATCATAGCTCAAGTTTAAAATTATCATGTATAAAGTTTTGATGTATTAAACAATAGTATTTATCAAATAATTTTATTATATTTAACACTTAATTTTTAGTAAATATTAAATAACTTATCGAGTAACATATTTAATACTTAATTATTCAGAATTTAAAATTTATTATTTAATAAATTAAATATTTAATTTTATTAAATATTACTTTAATCTTAATTGACATAAAAATTGATAAAAAAAATACCATATTAAAAAAAACTACATTTCCTCTTACCTAGCTAGATTGGAATTTCCTCCCACCTATAAATATCATGTCATTAGGACGACGGGTGCGAACAACTAAAAGAAAAAGGAAAAAAGGATAGCATGTGTGGGCAAAAAAATATAGATAAAACAGAAAGCAATGAAGGGGGAAAAACATGATAAGACAAACGATTCATTTAAAAACACAATTAATGATATTAAAATATGGCAGCATTATATCACAACATTTATGGGTTGAAAAGGGTCTCTAACATGGCTAGAAAGAAAGAATTTCTTTTAAATATGTCCCACCCGCTTTGCGAAAAAATCTGAATCATAATTTTTTTCTTCATTACTTAAATCAGTATCATTGTTTAATAATATGATAAGAAATTAACTAGATATTACTCGTAAATTGTAAAAATACATATGTTGTAAGTTTTATGTTTGTTTTGTATTTTTTTTAATATTGTTATATAATGAATTTTTTTAATATAAGAAGTAAAAAAAGAAAAAATCTTCTTTATTTTGATCGTGGTCACAGGTGCACGATTCTATGTCCTTGAAAAGTCAGAAATGCTTTTCAAAAGGCATGTATAGGTAGCTGCTGGGCGTGGGTTATCAACTTACTTTTTCACATGCTCGCAGGCGATTGTTTCACTTTTTACAAACTTTATTCGAGCATTGGATACTTTTACCTTCTTCTTCTTCTTCTTCTTCTTTTTTTTTCTGTTGTTTTCTTTTCTCTCTTTTTTTAAACTCAGTAATTTTGGAGGTTCACCTGATAGTAAGCGCTAAGGTATTCATAACCTTGCAACATACTCTGTAAATTAGGATGACGTTTTCTGATCCTGCAAGCATATCAAAACCATTGGTTTTGATATTTAAGGTCAAGGATTGTATAAGGTTTGGTTCTGAAAGGGATACTTTGAAGTTGAAAAGACTCCCAAAGTGAATAGCTTTATCGCAAATGGTGGATTCTCTGATTCCTAATAAGGAATCGTCAAAGACATCATGCCTTTGATCTCTTACTAGCACCATAACATATGCATTTAGTTCGATTCTTGTCAATGGTTTTAACTCTACTTAGATCATTTTAAGGTTAAAAAACCAGATTAGAACCTTAAAATGCATTTCAATACATGTAAATTAAAGAAATTCCTATAATGTGGCCCACGTGTCATGTTTTGTTTTAAATCTATAAGTGATAATTTAAAGACTTAGAGCCCAATAGATTTTAGTAGTAGGCTAAGTACATCCATGATGGATAGAGGTGCAAAATTAGGTTAAATAAAGAGTCCATAGTCTAGCTACATAAATAGTAAGTAAAGCTTGTGTTTTTCATCAATCCACAAAATGCTAAAATATTGACATAGACTATAAGACTCTCTTTCTTTAACGACTTAATTTTTTTTTTAGCAATACCTTGAGCACTTAATCAATCATGACGTGAAGGTATCTATGCTATTAATTTTCGGTGCGTTTATATGCTCGTACATACATGTCTAATTATCTTATAGTAAAAACCTAAAAAATGAATCGAATCAAATCAAAAAATTAAAAAAAAATTAGGATCCGATTTAACTCTTTCAACTAATTTATAACTTGAATTCACTATAAACAAACTCTCTTCTCCAAAATAAATAATCTGAATGCAAGATATGCGATCAAAGTGATCGAAATGGGTATGTTCATGGCTTTTTCTCTTTTCGTTTTTCTGTCCTTTGTACATAGAGATTGAATCGCAATATAAAAACAAAGTGAAGAACCAAAAAATGGTTTTAAAAACATAATGATCAAAATGCGACATACGGTAAAAATCGTATATCAGTTATCTGAACATTGCGAGAAAATGCCAAGGGTGACAGGGAACCGTGAATGAATAGTAACAGGTGAGATCTTTTTTTTTTTTTTTTTGGTAATTTGAAATATATTCTCAAATTGAAAAACTCTTTCATCTCTTCATCGCAAGTAGCAGCAGCACAAATAATACGATTTGGAAATGAAATAAATGTTCTGATCACAGATCAGCCACAATAATAACTAATTAAGCTGATGAAAACTCTGAACTTGTAAGGTTGATGCTAGCTACTGGAACTGCACCGGAAAGATCAGTAATTGGCAGCAAACAATTGGCAAGAAGTGCATGACCCGTTGCAGCAAAGTAGCTTTCCCTGAGATATTGGGGTGAAGGAATGCTATTAACAGCATAGATATCGATTTCGAAGAGATCTTCATCTTCTTCTATATCTACTGCTACTGGACCTTTTTTGTCTCCAAGTTGTGTAGTGCCTTCGTTAATAGCAGAAGCCATTGCCAGAATCCTGGTTAATCTGTGTTTTGTATGGTCCTATGTATTTTTTTGATGTTTTTGTATGATCCTATATATCTATATATATATTTGAAGGTTTATGTGTGGTGGGAAGCAGGCAGGTGGAGATGGTAAGTAGAACGCTCTTCAACAAATCTACAACAATCAAATGTTCCATTTTCAAAGCGCAAGAGATGATTTTCCTTATAGCAACTCTTTGACGCTTTGCTTACGTTTGCATACACAATATTTTCGGGAGGAAGATTTCCTGGTTAATTTGTTAGTATTTGAATCTGTATTTTTTTTTTTTTTTTTTTGCGTAAAAAACCATTATTAATGCATTACAAACTCTTTCATGTGTCCCTCTCCTCTGGACTCCATAATTTTCAATCACTCCATCCCAGCCTCAGGTTCTCAAAGTCTCGTAGAGTCGTAATACAGCCAGCCCTTATCCCTCAACAAATCTTTCTCCAAACAGCACCGTAGACTTGCCAATTTTGGAACAGTAATTGGATTAATTAAATTGTCATAACTCGTAACACCAACTTGCTCTAGGACCTACAGAGTGCCAAATAGCAGCTAACCTACTGAAATCCGCTCCTGTCAGGGGGTCACGGCCATCTTTTTGTCTCATTCGGTTCCCTCGCTGCCGATAGGCTCTTTGCCCAAGAAGAAAAGTTTCTATTAAAATCGTCCCTATGACATTTGATACCAAGTAATTTCTCTTACTCATGTCTCATGGTCATCTATGTACCATATTAGCACCAGCAATCTATCCGGCCGAAAACACGCAACTGAAATCAGCACGAGTATTTAGCCACTCTTTCGGACCATCTCCATTAACATGAGACATAGCCCATTTAAAGAAATGGGCCTAATCAACCGATGCATCTCCATTAACACGAGACGCAGCCCAGCTATTGTGTTCAGCGTAATCATGATACATACGTGAGACGGAAGTTCCAAGGCAAAAGCCCACCCGGTAGGAGTCGGATTACAAGAGATGGAGCTTCCGGTCAGGAACAAAATCCCTCTCACACATTGTATATATCACGAAATTGCAAGAAACTGTTGGCTAGTTTGGGATAGCACACTATACTAGGCGATGTCACGTCAATTTTGTTGGCCTAATGTTTTACAGAATAGAAAAAATCTTTTACTGAATGAAATTCTTGGTTTTAAATAAAAAACAGAGATGACAGTCACAGTTATAATTGAGATAACGATTACAGAATAGTAATTTAGTTTGAATGTTATGTAATAGTTGTGATTATTATATTTACAAATTTATATAAATTTTAAATGTAATTGATTTTTTTTTCACTTTCCTTTTTGAATTAAAAATTTAAATAGTCATTATAAAAACATGACTTATCTCATTTAACTTTTAGATACTCAATATTCAAAATAAATGTCATGAAAGGTTTTGATGGTTGTAGTTATTGTTGCTTTTATTTCTCTTAAATTTTCTCCTCTGATGATGATAGTACATAGGCGTTTTTTTCTTTTAACAAAAATCAGGAACGAAAAAAGCTTTATATATTAATTCAATCAAAATGCTTGTTTTATTATAGGGCTCAGCATGAGAAATAAAAAGGTTTAATAGCAAAAATTGCCGTCAAATTATTACGATTTAACAATTTGGAGCTTTGTTGTCAATTTATGTAATAAATTATTATATTTCCGATAATTTATTCTCTGCATCCAAATACTTTATTTATGTTTCTCTTATATTTTTTCGTTGAATTAAGCATGGAATGTTTCTCGAGACGTTCTAGATTTGTTTTATTGGTTAGTTTCATTTTTATATTAAGTTTTATGGTCAAGTCAGTAAATAGTAAATAATAGATAAAAATAAACTTTTACAACTATATAATAAGTAATAAAATAATACAGATAGAAGCTATTTCTGTATTTATACTCTGGCCTTAATAAATTTTTTTTGAAACATGTAAATTTGTTTTCTTCTTACTTTTTTAAGTCTTGAACTTGAAAATTATATTCTTTTCAACCACTCAAAAGCCGATGATTCCTATACAAAATATTTTGATTATAAAATATATGGATTCATAAATATCATGAAATTATCTTTAATCTGTTTGTTTAAATGTCATGACATTATCTTTTCGTCAAAGAGATATTAAAAAGATAAAAAGGGAGAGCCATCTATCTCTAATAAAAAAGAAAAGAAGAAATGAAAATCAAGTTGGGACTTAGGAGCGGCAATTCCTGGATCCCTGAGCACGAGATAGATAGCCCAATGGGCTACACCAATGAGACCTTGTTACCCGAAAGGTAGGCCAAGCCCAATATATTTTGTTTGTCGATTCGTTCTCAAATTGGTACAAAAGTATATGCTTTTGGACCTCAAGTCCTCGACCACCAACTTCTTGTTAGGTCTCTTCACGGCGTTCACGGGGTGTAAAATTCTCACTTCCAAATTCCAATTGGAAACCACGTGTACTTTATTTTTATTTATTCTTTAAAAAATTGCCTACTTGTTTTTGTCTCTTTTTGAATACAGTTTTTGTCCTTTTGTTTTCCTTGCTCTACAAAACAAGAAATAAAATAAAATAACTGAATCAATCCTTATATAATTAGGCAAGTTTCATTAAGTTTTCATATTTTTATATAGTGTATAATTTTTCAATATGCCTTTCAATGAAGTTTTTTTTATACTCAATTAAAAAAATTATAATTTTCATTTCAAAATTTCTCTTGAGATATACAAGAATATAATGGAAATTTTTCTTAAAATTGCTCAAAATGTTTTACGAAATAAAATTGTTTAAGATTACTCAAACATTAAAAATATTAACTTAAAAAAATTAAATTTACATTTTTTTTAGCTCAATGATAGTTTTCAAATGAAAAATATAATTGTAAAAATTTAGATAGAAAAATTTGATAAAAAAACATATTAGAAAATTAGATATTGTATAAGAACGTAATATATAAAATTAAAAAAATAAGGATAAATTGAAGACTTGACCAATTATATAATGATAGATGAAATCATTTATATAATAATAATAATAACGGTGTTTTGGAGTTTTTAATTTGTGGGAAAGATTTTTCTTTTTTAATAGTTATTGACTTATTGAATTTCTATTTTCCGGATTATTAAAACAGAAAAAAAGTTGCAAAATTTTAATCACATTCAATGCTAATAGAAAAAAACAATTCACTACAAGCCTATTCAGATAACAGGCACTTTCATCAATAGAAAAAACAACTCACTACAAACCTATTCAGATAACAGGCACAAAATATATAATATGATAAATAATATGTTGATCCATAGGATTATGACTTCAGGATATAGGATAGGCATTATACACAAAAAAAAAAAAAACCTGCTCATCCCTGGACCAAATGTGAAAATAAAAGATGTAGTGTATAAAAGGTGTGATTTATTATGAAATAAGGATGTACATGTAACTATGAGGAATCTTCTAATCCTAACGCAAGTAATTTTGCTTTTAAGTATTTAATTTTAATACGAAAAACTGATTTGGAAATATTATTACAACCTCATTACAAAATCAAAAAAGAAAAATATTTTTGTAGGAGCAGTCCATGCAAATTCCCCTTCACCCCATCACTTAATCACCTAATTAAATAATTTTCAATCTCTTCTTTCAAACACCCTTCTTCTCTTCTCTGTCGTTAACTAAATAAAATCTGTCACAGAGGAATACTTCCAGACTTCCAGTAGTATTTTACTCTCTTCCTCTCTTCATTTATTTATTTATTTATAGAAAATTCAGAAACAAAAACTAATAAATAACCGAAAAATACCAAATCTATCCCTGTAAGCAGGCACTGGCTCATACAGATCTGCACATATTTCGCCTCCAAAATTACCTTTTGTTTCTCCTTCGTTCTCTCACAGTCCTTACTCCTTAGCCACCAAAAACACAAGTCCATTTAAGGTCAGCTTCTCTTCTCTTTATTTATTTTTACTATTGTAATCAATCTATTTATTTCCTTCCCCTTTTATTTACTTGATTTTTTTTACATTTACTTTCTGATTCCTTCCTGCCTTTAATTCCTTTTTTATTACCATCCAATCAGCTTGTAAGTTTATGGTTCTTGATTCTTATGCTCTGTTAATTATAGATCTGTTTCTTGTAATTTTTTTTTGGGTTCTTGAAAGCATTTCTTTTTTTCTTGATTGTATAGATCTTGTGGTGTTTTTGGGTTTTTAATTTTTTGGTTTGCTTACTTAAAATGAGGCTTATTTACTGCATTCAGGGTTCCTCAAATTTGGGAAAGTAAAGGGTTTTTTCGGTGTTGGATTTTTTTTTTTTGGTGTGTTTTTATCATCTGGGTTTCTTTCAAATTTGTTAAATTTTTATTTTTTTATGGGTTCTTTTTTATATAGTTTGGGTTCCTAAAAGTTGGGAAAGCAAAGGGTTTTGTGTGTATTGGATAGTTTTTATGTTTCTTGCATACATTTTGTCATCTGGGTTCTTTCAAATCTGGTTTAAATTTTTTTCCGAGCCTAAATTTGATGAATATTGATTAGTTTTTGCTGTTTATTTTAAGCTCTATTTATGTGGTTTCCGTGGCAATTTAGAAGGTTCATGCTTTTTTTCTTTTCTTTTTTTTGTGATTGTTAATGCTTTCGATCTGATTTGAAACTGGATATCGTATCTCCAGATTTTGATCCGTGAAATTGAATGAGTATTGGTCAAAATGAAGCATGGTAATGCTTTTTTAGTTAAATCATGCCTTTTGAGTAGCGGTTGGATTGGTAGTATAGAGGCATACGGAGGAGATATGGGCAGTGGTATTTGTTGTGTTTTCTGCCTTTCTTTTTATTTTATTTTTATAAGTTTGTATGGTTGGTTTAATTTGTTTTGTATTATCAAATCAGCAGGACTGTGAAGATTAAATTGGATGGAGGGAATTGGGGCTGAGGGTGCCTCTGCTGCATCACCTGTTGCGCAATGGGGACATGATGTTTGGAGGATGTATCAGTATTATCTTGATAAGAC